ACACACACACACACACACACACACAAAGCATCCACCAATGATAAAAAAGCTGAATAAAATATAGCACACACATAGCAGGAAATAGTATGCAGCCATTAAGAAAGAATGAATTGGAACCATTCCCCATGACCTGCATGGCTGCAAGTTGGACAAGAACAATGTATTTTATATGATAAGCTATATTAGCATGCAAAAATCACCCATTTTCATAAAACAGTGGGGTCCCAAACTAAATCTTCACATGTATACTTCTACGTCTACATAAGGTTTCAGAAGTATGGAGACATACATAGAAGGAAATAAAGGCTGTTCACAAAGATTATCTGGGTTGAGAGCAGGACTGCACAAAAAAGGAAAATGAACAGCAAACGCACTCAGGAATGCTGCTTTAAAATTATAAGTCCATTTTATAACACATCTGACATTCTACTACACTCTCTGTGTGGAGAATAATTATGAAGAAAATAAGATTGCATTTTATCAGCACTTCCATTTTTCTACTTCCTCATTTTCTTTCCATAAACACTCATTACATTACGAGCATATAATTATAGAGAAAGACCCCGGCTTACATTTTTCAAGTGCATCCATTGCTGCTCCCATTTCTGCTTGCTGAATGCTATTAAATAAAATAAAGGTAAGGTACATTTTAAAGAATTTTCTCAAAAACACAATTCATGGCTACAAATTATTACGGCTGATTTTCACATCTGGTGCATAAAATTTCATCTAATTACTTACACTGTCACACAGTGAATTGCATGGATAGGAATATATACAAGAACATACAGACATGTCCTTTATTCACACAAAGCCTGTTTAAAATATTCCTTCCACAGTTTTTAATACTGCAATGTCTTCTATTTATATTAGAGCTAAAGTATTTCTTAAGTTTGAAAACCCTCAGTATAAAATTTAAAAATAAAAATTAATATCTGTCTGTGTATCTATCTGTGTTTCTGTATCTATATAGCTATGTACTTAAATATAGAGATAGAACAGAGGGTTCAAAGTAAAGTGATAATATATACAATTCTTTTTATATAAAGGTGTTAAGCATGTCCACAAAGTTCAAGTGAGTAGTAACAAGAAATCAAATATCTGATGGCTGCAGCATGCGCAACATGACGGATCTTACATATCTAACTTGCATCGATATCTGCACTGTGTTAAGACCAAACTGGACAGACATAACCTGTGCACCCACTAACATGGTTTTCTCAGTGGTCAATGCCCCTTACACAGTGGCATTCCCCTGTCCAAGGCCAGTTTTTAAGTTTGGGAGTTGGCTTGTTGGGGATATCAACCATTGGGATTCACTTTGCTATTAGCCTTGAACATTCTACACTACAAATTAGCAAAGACAGACTGCATTATTTGGAAAAACCACATAGGACTTCCTGCACTCAGGATGTTTATTCAATAAAATTCAAAGTATTTTCTTCCCATACCTTGGTCCTTTCCCACAGCCTATCCTTTCTCCCTTGAAATAAACAGCCACAGTGTAGGTTCTAGCATGAGATGGCCCCACCGTCTGCAGAGTCCTGAAGGGAAAGGAAAGCACATTAATTATAGTAAAATGTTCTTATTTTTGCTACTGTTTAACTCGGACAAAGATCTTGTATTTATTGCCTAGATAGAGGAAAGTAAAAAAAAAAAAAAAAAA